ACAAACCAAGAAAACCAAGGAAAATAAAAAATAAGGAAAAAATAAAGGGAAAGAAAAAAAGACAAAAAAAACCACAAACAAACAAACAAACAGAAAAAAAAACAAACCAAGAAAACCAAGGAAAATAAAAAATAAAGGGAAAAAAAATAAAGGGAAAAAAAATAAAGGGAAAGAAAAAAATAAAGGGAAAGAAAAAAAATAAAGGGAAAGAAAAAAATTAAGAAAAAAAGTAAACCACGAAAGAGAAAAAAAAAACAACCCTGCTGAGTCCGCAGACTCCAGATCCCACTCCAGGCCACATTTTAGGCGGTGTGATGTGTCTGCTCCATCCCCATCCTTCCCTGAGTGTCTGGAATCCCAAAAATAACCCGGGAGCCGCACGCAGCAGCGCCCCAGCCGGGCCGGGAGCGGCGGGCGGGACCCGGGCGCGCTCCCGCAGCCCCGGCAGCCTCAGCATGCTCGGCCCAGAGCAGCAAGGTAAGGAAAAGCTTCCCGGAGCTGATGGAAAAAGAGGAGAGAAGCGAGAGAGAATTTTTGTGGGGTTGTTTACGACTCTGTTTGTGCTGAGTAATTGGGGGAGCGCACGCTGGTGTTGCCGGGATGAAGAGAATTCCATGATTTGCGGATTATGTAATAGGGATGAGGGAAGGGAATGCACCCAAAAGCGCTCGGTAGGGCAGGGGAGGAGAGGAGCCGGGATTTGGGAATGTGCACTTGGGAACGGAGCGCTGGATAAAGCCGGGCTGCGTCCCCGAGGGGAGCGCGGAGATCTCTGCTCGCACCCCAAAACTGCGGCTCGAGCTCTCAGGGCTGCCCGGGAGCTCCTGCGTGAAAAGAAAAGGGATTTTGGGGTTTTAAGGAATAAGCGTGGCTCGTCCCCGCTGCAGGAGGGGGATTGGTGGAGATGGAAGCGCACAGGCGCTGCCATCCAATGCTGATCCCAGCCTTTCCCTGCCAATCCAGCGGGAAGCTGACCTTCAACCCTCCCCTCTCTGCTATGCCGAGGCGATCGCAGGGCTGCATTCCCTTTAAAAATCCTATTTGGGGCCAAAGCCCGGCTCGAATCCGGAGGTAAATGCGGATATCGCCCTGCCCCGGGCGGCTGCTCCGGGAGGGGACGGCGCTGCCGGGGCTCCCCACGGCTCCAGGTAGGTGTTTATCCATCCCCACGGCTGGAAAACAGCCCGGAATTCCCGCCCGGCTGCTGAATTTGTGCCTGTCATTATCGTGGTTTTGTTTTGGATACTGCCAGGGAGAGGAGGAGGAGGAGGAGGAGGAGGAAGGAGGAGAGGGAGAAAGAGGAGGAGGAGGAGGAGGAGGGTGAGGAATGTTTTGGGCAAACCCTCAGATCTGCAAACTCCCGACTTTATTCTCCCTCCGCAGCTGGACCAGGGCCTCCATCTTCTGCTATCCCTCCACCCGTGGATTTCTCTTAGTCATAGCCCCGAGGAAAGGGAAAAAAAAAAAATCCAAATAAATCCCATGAAAGCAGCGCTGGGAGCGATTCCCGCGGCACAGGCGGCGTGACGGCAACACCGGTGCCTCTAAATTTAGCCAGCCGTGCCAAAGCCGCCTGGTTCGCATCCCGGGATCGCTCCCGGCCCAGGGATGCAGCATTTTGGAGAGGCTGCAGCCCTTAAGGAGGCACCGGGGGTGTCCTTGAGCCGGGTTCTTGCCGGCAGAGTGAGCGCCGATGTTGAATTGCTGAGCAAACTAATCCCAGCCGCAGCCTAATCCCGGGGCAGGTTTGGGGCAGGATTTGCTCCGATCCCTCCTGCTTTGCTGGGAAAAGATGAGTGGGAAAGGGAGTTGATGGATGGGAGAGGTTGGTGGGCAAGAGGGACCCGCAGGGGTTTGGGGTGGGAGTTGGGATGGTTGGGGTTGTGTTTTAGCGGTTGGAATTGCCCTTGGTGAGGGATTCAGGATTGTCAGCACAAGAGGGATGTGGCAAAGGATGCAACTCATCCATAGCAAACATCTGGCTTCAAAGCAGGAGCTGCTCCTCTCCCAGAATCCCAAAATCATCCAGGTGGGAAAAGCCCTCTGAGATCTTTGGGTCCAACCATTAACCCAGCTCTGCTGGAGCTCCAGGGATGTGGGGATGCTCCAGATGATGCTGGAAAGCACTAGAGCTGCCCACAAGATCCCAGATTTTTGGGAATGCGGCCTGGAAATTCCAGAATTCTGTGGATGGAGCAGGCAGAGATGCTGTAATTCCCATAAAAATTGGATTATAGATGTTCCTTCAGGGGTGCAGAAAGCAGCCGTGGGAAACTCTCCAATTAAAATGCCATAAATAAGAGTTCATTATTTATATGAAATTATTAATAATTAATGGTTCCCACTAATATTTCTACCATGTTAATTATTTACAAGAGGTTTAGTATTTTGTCACAATTTAAAATATTATTGTACTAACCTAGAAACAGTATTTTATGAGCTCTTACAGCCCCAAAAGTGGATGAGGCCCTGTTTGATGGACACAAACAACATATGGGTTTCTCTCTCTTGAATAACTCCTTGTCTTCAGCAGCCAGAAATAATGAGGTTGGGAATTGGTATCATTTGGATCCCTGAATTAAGGCTGGGAGAGGGAGAGATGGAGAATTTGGGGGTGCAGGGTAAAATCAGGCAGGGACACTGTGAACAGGGGCAGGATTTGCTCCAAATCCTCTGAAATGGGACTTTTGTCACGCAGGAAAATTTGAATTTATTCCCTTCCCCAGGTCATGATTTGAAGCAAAAAAGGAATTATCCTAAAACCCATTTGAATTCCTTTTCCCAAGTAAGAGTTTTCACGGAAAACTTTGCAGGAAG